CTGACTTTACACAGGACAAGGAGTACAATGACAACCTGACTTTTTACTTAGTGCTGGCTCTGGCTGTAGTGTCCTTCCTCTTCATCACGTGTTTAGTGGTTATTATATCAGTGAAGATCTACAGGTGGAGACAGTCTCGCATCATGTGTCACTCCAATCTCCCTGTGATTCCTTATTATCCTCCACGTTACTCAGACACTTTGGGGACAGGGACTCTCAAACACGTGTACAATTACGAGGTGTGCAGGACGACTGACTCCAGAAAGAGTGACTGTAAGTTCGGCGGAGCAGGTAGTCAGAACGTGCTGATAATGGACCCCAGTTCTACAGGGACGATGCAGCGGATACAGAGTGAAAAGAGCATCCTGGATGAACCAGACTCTCCTCTAGAGGTGAGTTAGGAAAATATTGCTTTGCTTTTTGTCTCTGCGTACATTTTGTGCAATGATAAAGAACAGTTGAACACAACACGTCACTTTCAGCACCATAGACAGCTTGTTATACCTGACTCTCCTTTAGAGGTGAGTCAAACATAGCTTCGTATTTTTCGCCCCTTTGTTCTCTTAGTTTTTCTAGTTTCCTTTTCAGCACCACGGACAGCTTATTTTTCTTACACAACCTGATTGAAATGCTGTGTTTTAAACATTGCAAAGATAAGCCTGTGGAAAGCAAATGGCTCCTGAATGATTTTCATTTGATATGTGTTATTTACTGCATTCTGTCTCAATGCGTTGTGAGGAAAGTAATGCAGCATCAGTAATGTTCAGCCTTCAGATGTGTGTGCAGTGCTCTGGCAATGTAATCATTGTTTAGATGCTATTTATTTTAGTTATACGAATTTGGGAAACTGTTTCGTCACAAGTGCAGGTAAAACATACTCACGCTTGGAAAATAGAGATGCAGTTAGTGTGGTTTACGTTAGCAACACATGCATTTTGAACAGTGCTGTGCAATGTCTTAAGTAGAACCAGGATCCTGCACTTTCATGATAGTGCTTTAGGTGAGTGATTTATAAGACCTTCAAACCGCTGAATCATTTTAGGGAGTCAATCAAAGTGTTTCGCTTTTCAAACATGCCTATATTTTTAACATGAAGATTACCATGTTATGTATTTATTTCTTGTTTTTCTTGTTCGAACGTGTGCACAGTATACCACTTTTCTTGAAAGTGAGATTACATTTTATTTAATTCATACTGGTCCTATTGCCTTAAACTTATACTCATTATTTATTATTAAACAACCTGTTGAATGGCAAATATTTCAATTTACCACAGAAAAGTAGTTTTAAAAAACTTTTCGACTTTTCGAAATGATTTCTACCATATGAAGAGTTCAGTTTGTCAGCTTCAGAGCTGTAGTGTGTTATGTGCTGTAATTGATGTTCAGCTTTTAGACTCTAAGGGACGCTATTGGTCAGTAAATGATATCCTGTTAAATGTCGTCATTCAGTCCACCCCTAAGCAGACTATACAGTGGAGAAGGCTCTCTGTGTTTTGTCGAGGTTTAGGTCACGAAAGAGACAACATCATCTCACAGACTTGCATTTAAAGGCGGAGGACGTGATTAACCATCAGCAAACGGATATATCGAAACTAGTTTTACTTTCTTATCCACTGGATACATATTTTTTATTCTGTGTTGCCGTGATGGCATTGCGGGGATCTCTCACCTTCATATGCGCAAGACTGCCATTGTGTTACGGATTTCGAGGGCAAATAGGACTGCTTATGTTGCTGCTTCAAACGGTTAATATGGTAGGAGCGCAGATTCGTTATTCTATTCCAGAGGAGATGAAGAAAGGATCTGTTATCGGCAATGTAGCACAGGATCTCGGGTTGGATCTGAAGAGGCTTCCGTTCTGGGCGGGCCCGTATCGTGACCGGAGAAAACATCCACTACACCGAGCTGAAGACGGACAAAGGGATTCTAGTCGTGAATGAGAGAATAGACCGAGAGGAGCTGTGTGGAGACGTAACGCCGTGTAGCTTCAGCTTTGAGATGATTTTAGAAAATCCAATGGAACTGCACAGAGTAACTGTTGAGGTTTTAGATATCAATGATCACGCTCCGGTCTTTCCAAATAAAGAAAAGCCTATCTGTTTTGAAATGAGTGAATCGGCTGCAATCGGAGTACAGTTTCCACTGCAGAGCGCAGAGGATCTAGATGTGGGGCAAAACGCGTTGCAAGATTATATTTTATCACCAAACGATAATTTTATTTTGAAGCAACATGCAAATCCAGATGGAAGTAAATATGTTGAAATGGTGCTGCAGAAGCCTTTAGACAGAGAGCTACATCCCCATCTGTCTTTAAAACTGATCGCAGTTGATGGAGGAACTCCCCAGAGATCCGGTACAGTAAATATAGATGTCACTGTGTTAGATGCCAATGACAATGCTCCAATATTTAACCAATCAGTGTATAAAGCATCTGTGATGGAAAACACATTGAAAGGCACGACCATTGTGTCAGTTAATGCCACAGACGCGGACATTGGTTCAAATGGACATATTACTTACAGTTTGTCCAAGACTAAAGGAAGTGCAGCAAATGTATTCAGTGTTGATGAAAACACCGGCATAGTTTCTATGTCTGGGCAGATAGATTATGAAAAAGACAGAAAATACGAGGTGAGGGTAGAAGCAAAGGATCAGGGTGGCTTAATTGGAACAAGTAAAATTATATTTGATGTTCTAGATGTTAACGACAATGCCCCAGTTATAAATATCATGTCATTTTCCAGTCCCATTTCTGAAGATGCCCTTCCTGGTACAACAATTGCCATTTTAAACATAAAAGATCCAGACTCTGAATACAATGGGCGAATAAAATGTTCAATAGATGTTAAACTTCCCTTTAAGATAGAATCTTCTCTAACTAATTATTACAATTTGATCTCAGATCAACACTTTGATAGAGAATCTGTCTCAGAGTATAATATAACAATAACAGCCACTGATATGGGCTCTCCTCCACTTTCTAGCTCAACAAAATTACATCTTAAAATATCTGATGTAAATGATAACGCACCTTTGTTTAATACAAATAGTTACTCCGCTTACATAACAGAGAACAATTCACCTGGAGCGACTATATTTGCTGTCAGCGCGCGGGACTCTGATTGGAACCAAAACGCCAGAGTCTCTTATCTTTTAGAGGAAACACAAGTCAGTGGAAGTCCAGTTTCTACTTATGTGTCTTTGAACTCAGAAACTGGAGTTCTTAGTGCACTTCGTTCTTTTGATTATGAGCAAATTAAACAACTTCAGCTGGTAGTCAAAGCTCAGGATGGAGGCTCTCCTCCACTCAGTAGCAACGTGACTGTGAAAATACTGATCCAGGACCAGAACGACAACCCTCCTCAGGTCCTGTACCCAGTCCAGACTGGTGGCTCTCTGGTGGCTGAGATGGTGCCTCGTTCAGCAGATGTGGGCTATCTGGTCACTAAAGTGGTGGCTGTTGATGTGGACTCTGGACAGAATGCCTGGCTCTCCTATAAACTGCAGAAAGCCACAGACAGGGCGCTGTTTGAAGTGGGCTTACAGAATGGAGAAATAAGGACTATCCGCCAGGTGACTGATAAAGATGCTGTGAAACAAAGACTGTCTGTTATAGTGGAGGACAACGGGCAGCCCTCTCGTTCAGCTGCAGTCATTGTTAACGTGGTGGTGGCTGACAGCTTCCCGGAGGTGCTGTCTGAGTTCACTGACTTTACACAGGACAAGGAGTACAATGACAACCTGACTTTTTACTTAGTGCTGGCTCTGGCTGTAGTGTCCTTCCTCTTCATCACGTGTTTAGTGGTTATTATATCAGTGAAGATCTACAGGTGGAGACAGTCTCGCATCATGTGTCACTCCAATCTCCCTGTGATTCCATATTATCCTCCACGTTACTCAGACACTTTGGGGACAGGGACTCTCCAACACGTGTACAACTACGAGGTGTGCAGGACGACTGACTCCAGAAAGAGTGACTGTAAGTCCGGCGGAGCAGGTAGTCAGAACGTGCTGATAATGGACCCCAGTTCTACAGGGACGATGCAGCGGATACAGAGTGAAAAGAGCATCCTGGATGAACCTGACTCTCCTCTAGAGGTGAGTTAGGAAAATATTGCTTTGCTTTTTGTCTCCGTGTACATTTTGTGCAATGATAAAGAACAGTTGAACACAACACGTCACTTTCAGCACCATAGACAGCACCCATATAATAGTTAGGATCTTGTAGCCCTTTATTTTCCAAATCTGATGTCAATGTTGACATATATGTGCACAGCATGTAATTCCAACCCTTTTTTTCAAAATAGTTTAAATTTAAAAAGCTACATTTCCACTGTTTATCAATATTTAATATTTACTATAATGCAACAACTGGTACATATTTGTTTCTGTAAATAGGTGTTGCAGCGTTCACGTCTTTACGTGAAGTGATTGAAATGTTTTAGTTAGTGCTCATTGATGAGACTAATGAGGGCATTGTTGTTATTCTTATCTCGAATTTCTACTTGGTAATTATATTTCTTCCGTGACTGTGATGCAGTGTTGTATGGCACGTTGATTCTCCACTGGAGATTTTTCACTATTTTATTCTTTATTTGTATGTTTAGCTGTGTCGTGATTAACAGCATGTTTGTTACATTTTGTATGACACCATACATTATGAGGGACCCGGTGCTATGTATTCAATTGTCGCTATCATGTTAGTATGAAAATTACATTTGCAAGAATTTCCCCACTTTGTGTTGATATTCATTCACTGGACTCTAAGGGACGCTGTTGGTCTAGTTAAACAACTATGAACAGTGTTTCAGGCGGTGCCTTTCTACATCCTGCTCTGTGGAGAGTGAATATGCTTCATACCGTTTACAACGTTGAAGTGCGCGCAGATAGACTGTGTTTGAATTGATATTTTTCACCACGAAAGAAACGACATACAAATCGTTTTATCATAAACTACACTCTCGTTAATACTTCGTTTTTTTATGAGCAGTGTTTGGATGGTATTATTTCCCATACATTATTTGATAACATGGATTTCGGAAAATATGACTGGACACTAAGATGGCGTTTGGGCTATGGACTGACGTCGCGAGGCATTCTGTTTATTATTTTTCTCAGTCATATTGCCGGCGGTCAAATACGTTATTCAATCCCAGAGGAAATGAAGAAGGGATCCCTTATTGGTAATGTCGCATTGGACCTCGGAATATCTGCGCAGAGGCTCCGTTCTGGTCGGGCCCGTGTCGTGACAGGAGAAAGCATCCAGTACACCGAGCTGAAGACAGACAAAGGGACGCTGGTAGTAAATGAGAGGATAGACCGAGAGCAGCTTTGTGCAGAGGTAACACCGTGTAGCTTCAGCTTTGATTTGATTTTGGAAAACCCGATGGAACTGCATCACGTGACGGTCGAAGTGTTGGACATTAATGATAATTCACCTTCTTTTCATCAGCATGACATGCAATTAACGATTGGAGAATCAGCCGTACCTGGAGCACGTTTTGTTTTGCCAACAGCCAATGATCCTGATGTCGGAGTTAATGCACTGCAGGACTATCATTTATCTCCAAATGGAAATTTTATTTTAAAAACATATTCAAATTCTGACGGAAGAAAATATGCTGAGATGGTTCTTGAGAAACCACTGGATAGAGAGCAATATCCAAGTTTGTCCCTAAAGCTAATAGCATTTGACGGTGGGACGCCACATACATCGGGTACGGTAATTATAGATATCACTGTCTTGGATCATAACGATAATTCTCCTGTTTTCAATCAAACAGTTTATAAGGCCAATGTAGTGGAAAACTCCCCCGGAGGTACATATATCATCACGGTTAATGCCACTGACGCAGATAGCGGATCAAATGGTTTGATTTATTATTCTATTTCCAAAATGCAAGGCAGTATAGACAGCATATTTGAAATTAACAAAACAACGGGTGTGATATTTCTTTCAAGGCAGGTTGACTATGAAAAAGCAAAAAAGTATGAAATACGCATTGAAGCAACAGACCAAGGAGCTTTAACAGACTCAAGTAAGGTTATAGTTGGGGTGATTGATGTGAATGATAACTCACCTGTATTAAATGTCATGTCCTTCACTAGCCCTGTGTCAGAAGACTCTCCTCCTGGTACAACTATTGGAATTATAAATGTGAAAGATCTTGATTCAGGTGAAAACGGAAAGGTAACATGTAAAATAGAACAAAATGCACCTTTTAAGATTAAATCTAATTTAAGAAATTACTACACTTTGGTAACAGACACGGTATTGAATCGTGAAAGTGTTTCAGAATATAATATCACTATAGTTGTGACAGATGCAGGAAGGCCTCCTCTCTCGACAAGAAAACACTTTAATTTAAAGATCTCTGATGTGAACGATAATGCTCCTGCGTTTTCACAAAGTGTTTACAGTGCATTTATTGCAGAGAATAACTCTCCAGGTATTTATGTTCTCACTGTGAGAGCTGAAGATCCTGATGAAAACCAAAACGCCCGTATATCTTATATTCTGGAAGATACTAAAATCGGCGGGTCTCCGGTTTCTGAATATGTTTCTATCAATGCAGAAAGCGGAGTTATACATGCGTTGCGCTCATTTGATTATGAGCAGATCAAACATTTGGTTGTCGAAATCAAAGCTCAGGATGGAGGCTCTCCTCCACTCAGTAGCAATGTGACTGTGAAAATACTGATCCAGGACCAGAACGACAACCCTCCTCAGGTCCTGTACCCAGTCCAGACTGGTGGCTCTCTGGTGGCTGAGATGGTGCCTCGTTCAGCAGATGTGGGCTATCTGGTCACTAAAGTGGTGGCTGTTGATGTGGACTCTGGACAGAATGCCTGGCTCTCCTATAAACTGCAGAAAGCCACAGACAGGGCGCTGTTTGAAGTGGGCTTACAGAATGGAGAAATAAGGACTATCCGCCAGGTGACTGATAAAGATGCTGTGAAACAAAGACTGTCTGTTATAGTGGAGGACAACGGGCAGCCCTCTCGTTCAGCTACAGTCATTGTTAACGTGGTGGTGGCTGACAGCTTCCCGGAAGTGCTGTCTGAGTTCACTGACTTTACACAGGACAAGGAGTACAATGACAACCTGACTTTTTACTTAGTGCTGGCTCTGGCTGTAGTGTCCTTCCTCTTCATCACGTGTTTAGTGGTTATTATATCAGTGAAGATCTACAGGTGGAGACAGTCTCGCATCATGTTTCACTCCAATCCCCCTGTGATTCCTTATTATCCTCCACGTTACTCAGACACTTTGGGGACAGGGACTCTCCAACACGTGTACAACTATGAGGTGTGCAGGACGACTGACTCCAGAAAGAGTGACTGTAAGTCCGGCGGAGCCGGTAGTCAGAACGTGCTGATAATGGACCCCAGTTCTTCAAGGACGATGCAGCGGATACAGAGTGAAAAGAGCATCCTGGATGAACCTGACTCTCCTCTAGAGGTTAGTCAAATAATGTAGCTTTCTGTGACGGTTTCCCTCTTTCTGTGTTTATAGACATTGTTAGTGAAGTGCTGCATCTATATTCAGCATCATGGGCAGCATATCTCCTCTCATTTGATATGAATACCGCTTCATTATTTACATTCAGAACTTTCCAAAAATATTCTTTCCACTTTTCCCATCTTATTAATATGCTGATTTTTGGTTTTACATAGACACCGTTTTTTTTAGACGCATTTTGTTTTACCTTGGTCTTGTCATTTTTTAAACATGGTTTGCATCGAGGCTGCTCTCCGTAGTCTGTTAACAAGTTTGAAATGGTGGTTGTGGTTTGCTCAGGACATGAAATGTTTTACTAACAATCAATGTGTTCCTTATTTAATCTCAATTAGTTTTACCAAGCCCCATGTTTTATATGTCCCATTGCTTCCCCAAATTAAATAGGATTGAAGTTGTACTTTGCTTGTGTTCATTTGAGTTACTTGTTCGGTAATTCTGTTTCTATTTTCGTTTATAAAGATTTAACTGCAAATTAATACATACATGATAATAATTAATTTGAGATGAATATGTATTTTATTTTACGGAATACTTGGATTACGTATTTTGTCATAGTTTGAGTATGCACCATTCAGATTTGATCAATCATTTAATATTTCCAGAATGTATTCTATGTTGCACGGTGTTACTGATTTTGGACTCTAAGCGACGCTGTTGGTTAATCTACGTTTTTCCAAAACATTATCACAAAGTCCCCTCCCTATGAGAGAAAAGGAGGTGGTGTGCACTTAGTGGGCTGATATCTGAGGGTAACACACTAGCAAGCATTTAAATCTCAATTCGGATAAATACAACCTAACGGATACGGGTCGTGTTTGTTTTGGTGCAGAGTATATTTTCCTATTTTTATTTTTGCAATGGCGTGTGGAATCTCTCCATACTCGCGATGCGTGAGATGGCACTTTGGCTGCGGACAGAAGTGGAAGCTACTGTTTTTCTTTCTTTATCTAATTCAAGTGGTCAGCGGACAAATCCGATATTCAATCCCAGAGGAGATGAAGAAAGGCTCCCTAATCGGTAATGTAGCACAGGACCTTGGTTTGGATCTGAAGAGGCTCCGTTCTGGGCGGGCCCGGATCGTGACCGGAGAAAACATCCAGTACACCGAGCTGAAGGCAGACAAAGGGATTCTAGTCGTGAAAGAGAGAATAGACCGAGAGCAGCTTTGTGGAGACAAAACCCCGTGCAGCTTCAGCTTTGAGGTGATTTTAGAAAACCCGATGGAGTTGCATCAAATTACAGTAGAAATAACAGACATAAATGATCATTCTCCCGCTTTCAAAAAAGATACTATCCGTTTTGAAATCAGTGAAATTGCCAGTGCTGGCGCTCGTTTTCCGTTGACGAGTGCAGAAGACCCAGATGTTGGTGTCAATGGATTAAAGGAATATGTTTTGACCGAGAATGAGCATTTTATAGTGAAACAAACCTCTAATGCAGATGGAAAGAAATACGCAGAGATGGTGCTGCAGAAGCCATTAGACAGGGAGACCAACCCTAATCTGTCTCTAAAGCTGATAGCTGTTGACGGCGGATCTCCGCAGAGATCTGGTACAGTAAATATAGATATCACTGTTCTTGATGTGAATGATAATGCACCTGTATTCAATCAGTCTGTATACAAAGCTACAGTAACGGAAAACGCTCCAAGAGATACTTACGTTACCACTGTTAACGCCAGTGACCAAGATTTTGGGTCAAATAGTATTGTAACGTATTATTTTTCAGACATCAGCAGTGGTTTTAGTAATTTGTTCATAGTTAATGAACAATCTGGTGTGGTTCTTATAACAGGGTTAATTGATTATGAAAAACAAAACAAATACGAACTCAGAATAGATGCAAAAGATCAGGGAGGTTTGACAGATTCCAGTAAAGTGATAATTGAAGTAGGTGATGTAAATGACAACTCCCCTACGATTAGTGTCATGTCCTTCACTAGCCCTGTGTCAGAAGATTCTCCTCCTGGTACAACTATTGGCATTATAAATGTGAAAGATCTTGATTCAGGTGACAACGGACAGGTAACATGTAAAATAGAACAAAATACAGTTTTTAAGATTAAATCTAATTTAAGAAATTACTACACTTTGGTAACAGATACTGTATTGGATCGTGAAAGTGTTTCAGAATATAATATCACTGTAGTTGTGACAGATGCAGGAAGGCCTCCTCTCTCGACAATAAAAAACTTTAATTTAAAGATCTCTGATGTGAACGATAATGCTCCTGCGTTTTCACAAAGTCTTTACAATGCGTTTATTGCAGAGAATAACTCCCCAGGTATTTCTGTTCTCACTGTGAGAGCTAAAGATCCTGATGAAAACCAAAAATCCCGTATATCTTATATTCTGGAAGATACTAAAATCTGCGGGTCTCCCGTTTTTGAATATGTTTCTATCAATGCAGAAAGTGGAGTTATACATGCAGTACGCTCATTTGATTATGAGCAGATCAAAGAGTTGGTTTTCGTAGTCAAAGCTCAGGATGGAGGCTCTCCTCCACTCAGTAGCAATGTGACTGTGAAAATACTGATCCAGGACCAGAACGACAACCCTCCTCAGGTCCTGTACCCAGTCCAGACTGGTGGCTCTCTGGTGGCTGAGATGGTGCCTCGTTCAGCAGATGTGGGCTATCTGGTCACTAAAGTGGTGGCTGTTGATGTGGACTCTGGACAGAATGCCTGGCTCTCCTATAAACTGCAGAAAGCCACAGACAGGGCGCTGTTTGAAGTGGGCTTACAGAATGGAGAAATAAGGACTATCCGCCAGGTGACTGATAAAGATGCTGTGAAACAAAGACTGTCTGTTATAGTGGAGGACAACGGGCAGCCCTCTCGTTCAGCTACAGTCATTGTTAACGTGGTGGTGGCTGACAGCTTCCCGGAAGTGCTGTCTGAGTTCACTGACTTTACACAGGACAAGGAGTACAATGACAACCTGACTTTTTACTTAGTGCTGGCTCTGGCTGTAGTGTCCTTCCTCTTCATCACGTGTTTAGTGGTTATTATATCAGTGAAGATCTACAGGTGGAGACAGTCTCGCATCATGTTTCACTCCAATCTCCCTGTGATTCCTTATTATCCTCCACGTTACTCAGACACTTTGGGGACAGGGACTCTCCAACACGTGTACAACTACGAGGTGTGCAGGACGACTGACTCCAGAAAGAGTGACTATAAGTCCGGCGGAGCAGGTAGTCAGAACGTGCTGATAATGGACCCCAGTTCTACAGGGACGATGCAGCGGATACAGAGTGGAAAGAGCATCCTGGATGAACCAGACTCTCCTCTAGAGGTGAGTTAGGAAAATATTGCTTTGCTTTTTGTCTCTGCGTACATTTTGTGCAATGATAAAGAACAGTTGAACACAACACGTCACTTTCAGTACCATAGACAGCCTGTTATACCTGACTCTCCTTTAGAGGTGAGTCAAACATAGCTTCGTATTTTTCGCCCCTTTGTTCTCTTAGTTTTTCTAGTTTCCTTTTCAGCACCACGGACAGCTTATTTTTCTTACACAACCTGATTGAAATGCTGTGTTTTAAACATTGCAAATATAAGCCTGTGGAAAGCAAATGGCTCCTGAATGATTTTCATTTGATATGTGTTATTTACTGCATTCTCTCTCAATGCGTTGTGAGGAAAGTAATGCAGCATCAGTAATGTTCAGCCTTCAGATGTGTGTGCAGTGCTCTGGCAATGTAATCATTGTTTAGATGCCATTTATTTTAGTTATACACATTTGGGAAACTGTTTCGTCACAAGAGCAGGTAAAACATACTCACGCTTGGAAAATAGAGATGTTGTTAGTGTGGTTTCCTTTAGCAACACATGCATTTTGAACAGTGCTGTGCAATGTCTTAAGTAGAACCAGGATCCTGCACTTTCATGATTGTGCTTTAGGTGAGTGATTTATAAGACCTTCAAACCGCTGAATCATTTTAGGGAGTCAATCAAACATGTTTCGTTTTTAAACATGCATATTTTTTGTAAATGAATACAACAATTGTATTGATTGTATATCCATGAAATATATATATATATATATATATATACATGTGTCTTCATGAAATATATATATATATATATATATGTGTTTGTTTTTTCTTCTTCGACCGTGAGCACTGTAGACAACTTTTATTACATTACTCATTACATTTTATTTTATGTACACATGTTCTCTTTCCTAAAACATATACTCAGAATCTGGTATTAAATAACATGTTGAATGGCCAAGTATTTCAATTTAACTCAGAAAAGTATATATTTTTTAAAGAATTTCCGAAATTATTTCTAGTTCAATTTGGCAGTTTCAGAGCTTTAGTGTGCAATGTGCTGTAATTGATGTTCAGCTTTTAGACTCTAAGCGACGCTGTTGGTCAACAAATGATATCCTGTTCTATGTCGTCATTCAGTCCATCCCTAAGCAGACTATGTGGAGAAGGCTCTCTGTGTTTTGTCGAGGTTTAGGGTTTAAAGTGTGGAGGACGTGATTAACCATCAGCAAACGGATATCAAAATTAGTTTTACCGTCTATTCCACTGGTTACAGATTTTTTTATTCCGTGTTGCCGTGATGGCATTGCGGGGATCTCTCACCTTATGCGCAAGACTGCCATTGTTTTATGGATTTCGACGGCAAATAGGACTGCTTATGTTGCTGCTTCACACGGTTAATATGGTAGGAGCGCAGATTCGTTATTCTATACCAGAGGAGATGAAGAAAGGCTCTGTTATCGGTAATGTAGCACAGGATCTCGGGTTGGATCTGAAGAGGCTCCTTTCTGGGCGGGCCCGTATCGTGACCGGAGAAAACATCCACTACACCGAGCTGAAGACGGACAAAGGGATTCTAGTCGTGAAAGAGAGAATAGACCGAGAGCAGCTTTGTGGAGACGAAACGCCGTGTAGTTTCAGCTTTGAGGTGATTTTAGAAAATCCTATCGAGTTACACAGAG